ACATGATCATTAATTCATTGTAATTATTTTCGGATCAATAAGCGCGAAAAAAAAAATTTGACAGTGACGATATATAACGCGAGAGATTATAGATAAAGCGAGCCTCGCGAGCGAAACTTCGGAAGTCTTTCATGTTAGCTATCTCGCTTGCTCCTCATTCGTTCTCTCTTTCTCTCTTTCTCTGCTTGTTCTTTATTGTATTCTTTCATTCCCCAGTTATATAAAATACAATCTGACAAAAATAAATTGTGTAATTAATAATGACAGATGTAATGTATACTTCTTCCTTTTCTTTATTATACAAATAGACATGTAAATTTGTACAATTATATCTGTCTTTTAAATTTTCAGGACAAAGATTGGCTATATTACTTGTAAAAGTAACATTAATTATGATTCTTTCGAATTATACTGTTTGCTGCGACATGAATAAAAAACGTACAAATGATAATAACGCAATGGGCTTTTTCACGTACGCAGCTGATGGTTTGTATCTGCAATTCAAAAAACGTGACAAATGAGTGTACAAATAAGCAAGTATATAGATATACTTTTGTATAAGCGTGTATTTCTAGCAAGCGCAATGGAATTTGTAATTTTCATAATATTTGTAATTAAATAGAAATCGAATTAGATAGAAACGGAAATTTCTTGATTGATACTATTTTATTAAAGATTTAATTGTCTTAGATATGGATAAATATAAGCAACATAAACTAATAGATTTTCTAGTAATTTTTATTAATTTCACATTGATTTGTGTGTGTAACAATTTATAAATTTTAATCATAAACATTTTATATGTATTTGCGAAACTATATTGCAAAATAAATATATATTCAAGTTACAAGTTGAAAAAAACAATATTTGTTTCTAGAATGAGCCTGCTACATATTAGGTAAGTGCTTATAATACTTGGAAAATTATCTTTTCAAAGAAAAAAAAAAGTTTTACGCGCTTATCTAAAAAGAAAGTTATAGAATGAATATCTCGAAACATAAGCCTTGGACCCGAGAGATATCAGAGTACACCTTATCAACAAAATAATTTTCGATATAATCCAGCCAGCTGCGTTAAAGTTGCCACATATCTAACAATAAGGGCCGTGGCACATAGAAAAACTTAAGCAGTAAGACTTAAGACGTAAGCGAATTGACCAATCACGGTCGAACAGTAAGGCAGCCATATTGAAACGTAAGCTACGCTGAAAATTCTGTATGGTTGAAATTCTTAAGTCTTAAATCTTACTGCTTAAGTTTTTCTATGTGCCACGGCCCTAAGTTATACATTGAGGCTATCGTTAATAAAATGTAAAAATACACAATTTTTTATATCTAGCGTTTCAAGTTGCGATCGAGATTGTCTTTCGCTACCTAAGATTGAAGTGTGCTGGTTAAAATATTTATGGCAAGGAGGCAAATAACATTATTTATAGATAATTTATTTCTATTTACAAAGAAGAGGCTTCTTTCATTTTAAACCATATGGCTAGTTGGTGAAGGGATATAAAACACCGTTTACATTTGTCGGATTGGAGCAAAAGGTAGATAGTTGCATATAATTTATTTTTTGGTACAACAATCATTCGTGTAAAACATGCTCTGGAATATACACGTGTTTGTATATCCAAAAGTCTAATCTGCTCTAACCACATTGTAATATTCCGCGTTGGAATAAATGATAATTTCCCATCACATTTTCTACAGTTCGATTCCTTGCATTGTATTATATCTGCACAATCTCTTGAAGACTTATTTAGTGGACACAAATTATGTACAGCGTTGGTTTTACATAAGCTGATGGGATAAAAAAAGTGACTTACATAAATATGTGGCAGAAATTCATAAGGAAATGTCTTTTATATAAATTTTATTAAAATATTATCTTGCTGGTTATTTGGCGCTTCAAAATACATCTCCATTCTCTCCTTTTAAGTTACATATTTGTGCGGATATAAAAGTTTGTAAGCATGTTCTGACGCTTATTTTTAGACCGGATCAAAGTTATAACATTTTTGAATCCGTACAGTTACATGAAACAGTCGATCATGATAACAAAATGTTATCAATTCTTGTATTCAAATGTATTCAATTTTCTACTAACAATATGTTCTATTATTGATAATGTTTTTTGAATAAAAACACATTCATTTCACACATTAAGACTTTGCACCGCAATATCTCTATCTATAGTGCAGATATATTAAGTATAAGGCAAGTGTTCGAGTACCTTATACGGTAACTTGGTTTTGAATCACAAATCCGCAAATTATATAAGTTGTATGACTCATTTAATGGGAATTTGGCTCCAGTGATTGACACGAGTAATATTTCATAATCTGTATCCCGACAAGCGGTTATATGTAAAGGCCCTTGCACAATGCTAGGCGATAACAAAAGCAACTGTCAGCTGTCGCGTAAGGCGTAAGGAAGAATACGTCGTTCGTGCCTTCGCTCAAGTATTATTTTGTCTCTCGCGTGCGGTGGGTTAGTAAAGCGTGTAAAGCGTGTTTGCAAGATTTGCACAAAAATAAATTCAGTACAAAAAAAAGAAAGTGAACATTGTATTTAAATCATACGTTAATAAGACGCTCCAGAACTCCTTATCCGTTTTTCGACCGGCCAACAAAAAAAAATGTATGTAAGTTAATATACCAAAGCGAAGACTTTAGACAGCAAGAATAAAAATAATCTTTAATTTATTATATGATAGAGATTCAAACTATTGATTAAACCTGTTAGGAATTTGGTCAGTTCAAATATTACTAATAATGAGATCTGATAATCTAATAAGATACTCTGAATTAGACGAACTGCGTATAGATAATTTTATACATATGATCTTGCACAAGATACGACCGTATATTTTGGTAAATTATTGAAGCCTATTTTCTATTTCAAATTCAACTAACCATATTTCTTGATAAATTATTGTAAAGTCTGTTGTCTATTTTAATTATCCAATTATAAAGCATAAAGTAGAAAATAAATCATTCTTTCTCAATAGATCAAATTCTGAATTATGCAAAAAAAGTCATAAATCAACAGATCAACGAATACCGTGATGTGATTCGATCAATATGAGTTACTTGATCTACTGCACATCGGCGCTAATAATATCCCTCAGTCTCTTCTATGTATATGCCAAATACAACCCGAGCAGCACATAAACATTGGTCTTATATTGGATCTATGTTGATTGCCCAACGTTTATTATATCGGCCCAACGTTCCGAAATAACAATGGACCAATGTTGGCGGCGTCACGCTGGTTTACTGATGGCCAATGGTTGGTAAAATGTTGGATTTTGCATTTAGCCAATATTATACCAACAATTGAAAAGTGATCCGATCGGATAAAACATTGACCCAATATTGAGCATATGTCGACTGTCTAAATTGTAGATATTGGCCCAACGATTTCAAATGATAATGGACCAACATTGTCTGCATTGCAATAAATATATAATTTTTAGCTAATATTAATTTCAAAAACCACAGATCCCAAAAATAAAATGGATATCAATAAATTTTTACCTACAACTGTTATAATTACATCCATATAAATCACATAGATTTTAACTCATTACAAGAATTCCTAGAATTATATAAATAACATGCAATTACTATATAACAGATATAAATAAAAATATATTGGTGTCCATTTTATTTTTGTGATGTATGGTTAATGAAAATAATATTAATTAAACATCGTATACATATTGATTAGAAATTGTCGACTAATTAAACCTCAATAATGGCATGTCTGAAATTCGGATATAGAGATTGTCTTTATTATATAATATATGCAATAAAATAAACAGTTCTATAATTAAATGTTTTAATTCATAGAAACTTTCTACTAGAAAGTGAGAAGACAGAAAACATATGTCTGTTCTTCTCTACTCTCCGAAGCTAGCCGAAGCGCAGAGCGCATATATACGCGGTTCGCGCTTGTGTGCGTTATCCCCTCCATTGCTGAGCCGTCAGCCGCGGGACCTGTTTCCGGCTACACTGCTTGTGAATTAGAAAGTTCTTGTTCTTCGTTCTCGATAGTGATGTGCGACATGTATGAATATAAAATCAAGATTTTACTTTAAGAAGATAGAAAAGATTATCCTAGAGAAGAAAATATATATATAGAGAAAGTATGTAAATATAATTATTGCTTTTCTAATAAAATTTAATTATATTGTACAGTTATAACTAATATGAACTTTACTTAATCTAACTTTCAATTTACTTTCATGCCGACACATTTTCTGATTATTTTTATAATCATCACATGTACACTCACCGGCAATGCTTTACCATTTGATATAAATATAGAATAGAAATTTCCATTAGAATGCATTAATTGTAACAGTTACATAATATAGAAATAATAATGTCTTATAAGTATTACATTTTACTTTTCATTCTAATTAATATGTATACTGCAAAAAAAGTGAGAATTTAGGTTTTGTGCAACTTACGAATAACCAAATGTATTAATATTTTATTAATATTTTCAGTAGCAGCTGGTCGTAGCTAGTGGATAGCTAGTATGGTATACTACATATACGTGGAATACGCATATTTGGACACGTGCTTACATTAGATACCTCTTACGTACCGTAAGTTATCTACAAACTATCTGACATATTATTCATCATAATATATGAAGAAACTAAACAGTTTGCACACTTTTATTTGATGCATTTTAAAACGTTATTTAATTCAATAGGAAAATTTATCAATAAAAGATAAATGCTCTTATTGCATATCGAATAATGCTCTGAAATATCGAAAGAAAATTATAGAAACTGTTTTGCTTCTTACAATTAGTATATGTAATTATATGAAAAACTTAGTTTATAAAATTAAAACTTATTATATTATATATATTGAAAACGATGAGCTTGTAAATGTATATTTATGGAGGAGAATACTTTTATTTAGGTTTTCAAGATATTATTAAAAAAATGTTATCAAAAAATGACAACACATATGTTAATTTAATTTTAAATATTGATGGTCTTCACTTAGCAAAATCATCGCAAGCATCTTTATGACCAATTTTATGTTCTAATACGATCAATACGGCAGTGTATCTAGTTGGTGCTTATTTTGGATATCAAAAACCTACTGATCTTAATGTTTTTTTGCAACCTGTTGTCGATGACTTAATTAATTTAATTAATAATGGTTATATTCATGCCGAAAAGAAAATCAAAATAAGATTACTTGCTTTAATATGTGATGCACCTGCAAAATCTTTTGTTTTGTGTATAAAAGGTCACATCGGATTTAATAGTTGCACTAAATGCTTAATTAAAGGAAAATATGAAGATTGCTTTATATTAATTTAAATATACATTTTACATTTCTTGTTTTTTTTTTTTAATTATTATCATATATCATATAATATAATTTTAATAAAAATTTAATAATTTCAAACTAAAATTTATTTAGAAATAACAAAATCAAATTAACATTGTGGAAGCTAAATGGATATATAAATGATAAATAAAACACAATTATATTCGAAGTAAGCGAAATTGCGTAAGATTTAGATAATATAATATAAAATGAACAACATAAGTTATAATAACAATAATTGTGCATTGATTAAGCTCTCTAAACAAAGCGAAAAATAAAATAAATATTATCTGCAGAATTGTGATAAAATTTGGAATGATAAAAATAAAGGCAATAAGTAAAAAAAAAAATATTTTACAAAAAATCATTTCCTTCTATATGTAAGCGCGAAGATTATCAATTGTCGGAAAAATAGAGAAAGCACTATAAGCACTATAAAGCACAATATTTTATGAAACTTATATTTATTATACTTAACTTGTTTAGTTTTCTATTGCATAGTAACTATTATAATATAGTATATTACTCACTTGTAAATTATATATCTGCTAATCATACTCTCCAAAAATATGTTTTCAGAAACCATGTTTTGTAACATCCGCAATATAATAGATACTACAATAATTTATACCAAAAAAGTCAGATTAATTATTATTTATTACATATATATATTTAATTTATTATATATATTTATAAATTAATTACTGCATTTATTTGTGAACATATCTGATTCGGTAGAAAATTAATTTCATGTATAGCTATAAATATATGTATTTAAACATGAACAAACGAACACGGAAAAAAAAATTTTCGCTACCATAGCTAATCATGGTTTGCAAAATAAATTTCTAAACTGCAGCAAAACGGTTTGTTGTTGCACTTAATAAATAGATATTACAGCTAAGATGTTCGCTGTTGCACCTAATAAACAGGTGTCACAGCTAAGATGTTCGCTGTCCATATATTATGACTGAAATCTAGTTACCACACGCAGTTTTTAGCTACGGCAGCTAATTTTTTTTTCCGTGAATACATATTTAAATACATCCATAATATACATATTTTATAATAAGAGTAATATATGTATGATTAACATTTAATTAGATTTCTTCATCAGTAGTTTTTCATATTTTTTTATAACATTTATGTTCACAAAACAGGCAATTTTCAATTATTGTCATATGTACCTTTAATGCAACGGGGAAATTCAAAAGAAGTGTTGAACGGAGATGTATTATAAGAAGTATCGAAATCAAGAAATTCGTGATGAAATTGTACCACAAACAAATCCATTATGCGGGACTCTGGGAAAACCTATAGAAAATAATTTTGCAGTAATTATATCAAAATGGAATCGCAAAAAAAATGCTCACATTAGCACTAGCGCTGCTATTTTCTAAACATTTAAGAAGAGACTATTGCTCTTATATTTAAGTTTTTAAAATATATAATAATTATGCGTCTTTTTAGAGTAATGTGTAGTAAAATTTTTTCATTAAAGATACTTTTGCAATTGTTTTAAAATTATATTACACACATAAATATTAGTATCTACTATAAGGATATGTATCAAACATATCATTTTTTGAGTAATAATTTTAATTTAAGTTTTATAATAATATTTAAATCTCTCTAATAAGATTAGCATAAAGTGATTTTAACAAAATAAATAATAATAATAATATAAAAAATTATTTGATATTGTCTCGACATATATGTCGCATATTTACTTGTAAAATTAATTTTTCTACAAAAAAATTTTTTTTTTGGAAACGTCAAACTTTTATAGGAAAAATTATATATAAAAGTTTGTTTTATATGGAAAGATTAAAGTTATATACTTTGTATGCTTGCGAATAAGAAAGAAACAATTAGCGCTAGAAATACTTTAAAATAACCTTGTGGATGGTAAATGTTCCCAAAAATCTAATAAGACAATCGTTAAACCAAAATGATCTCCGTGATGCCCAAACTAAGTCATAAACATTATAAAACCATTCCTGTGATACTTTATATCCTACTATGCGAGCTACATCGATTTTACGCGCAGCGGGATCTAAATTTTTATCGTAGATAATATCTTTTTCTCTGAAAATGACAAAAAATAGTTTTTAAAAATGTTTTTTTATGTTAAAATATTTGTAGTTTAATAATTATATACATATATTAATATATTAGGTATATTAGTTCATATACATATTATTTTATCCAAGATATTAAATTTGTACATCATCAAATTTTGTACGAAAATGTAATATTAAAATTAAATTTTGCTTATATAATGACACACTTAAATACACGTATATATAAAACTATGCATATATCTAACTTCTAAATTTCTAATTCCAAGTGCTAAAAGTAAAAACTTACTCTTTTTATCATTATATTTGTTTTCAATTAAACATACTCACAGATAATGTGAGCATATTTATCTTAATACTATAATTTTGAATACTAATATAATCATTTTAATAAATTAATATATATTTTAACCATGTGTTTACCTATAAAGAACTAATCCCAAATTCACCATATCTTTGTCTTGAAAATTCGGAATCGCAAGATGATTCACTTTCGAAATTATTTCTGGACGTATCCATCTGTGTTCCAAGTACAATGTGATATCTTCAATAACTCTCCGTGCAAATACCATGCGCAATGCGGAACAATTTCTATACCACACATTTGTAATCATATTTTTAGTGGAGTTGTGATAGAAATTAGTCACTATCCCTGCTATGAGATAAGTGGGCAGTCTAGGTGTGGTTTTAAAGTGTGTGAGCGCCATGTCTTCATCATCTCTGTCCACTTTTTGTACCTTCATACTTGATAGAGCCGCATAGTTACTATGATGCTTTATAGTAATGTTAAAGGTGGCTTGTAAATATTCGCCCAAGCATGGAAACACTTGTCGAGCTCCAAATACATCGAAATGCGTTGGTATTAACCACCTATTATTTTATATTTCAAGAATCAATGAATTTTCAATTATTACGAAGAAATATTACAAGCTGGAGATACAGAGGATATATAAATGAAGATACACAAATGAGACTCATAGAAATAGTGGATAGAAAATAATATTTTGATGTTTTTTACTATTATCACACTTTAATACAATGTTTTGTGTTATGTTGCATAATATGAAATATTTTTTTTTATACTATTCTCAAATAAATTTAACTATTTTTAATCTTTTAAATTTAATGAAACCAAGTTTTTTATAGAATTATGAAATATATTTCAGAAAATAAAAGAAATATTATAAAATAGCTTTTTATATTGAGTAATATATCAATTGTCATACAATATGTTAAGATGTCAATTATTTCATACATATTTCCATGCATGTTATGAAAAAACTACTAACTTAAGTTCTGATTTATATGTATGTATGCATTATCGTATGATTTATTTTATATCATATATATGCATGTATATATATATGTATAAAGTTGTGATATACTATATTACGTATATATATAGAATTACTTATGACATACATAATGTTCATATATATATACATATATCATATATGCATGTCAAAGATAATATAGTTTATACACAATGGAGTGTTTGTATGTGTATGTTTGTATATGTAATAATGTTTATAATGATATACATATATTTTTAACGTTTTAACAGTTACTAACCATTTATATTTTTGTTTGTAAAAATTTGTTAACTTTGTATCATCACCTATAATACCATCATATTTCATATTCAAAATGTAATATCCCGGTGATATGTTATTTGTAAAGAAAATCTGGACACTTTCATTCGTATCATTATATAAATATTTTATCGGATGAACAATAATTTCTTTGTACCCGTGAAATCTTGGTGGATTATCAGTCATAATTATATCATTTATAAATTTAATTTTTGAATACAATATTAGGGATTGCGTTGGTACAAGAATCCTAATGCTAATATTGCATTCGCCATAAAAAATATTTAGTTCAATATCTGGTTCGAGTTGAATATTATAATGCTCTGGTGTTATTTTGTGAAAACTTCGCAAATATTTTTCATATAGCTCAATTTGGGCATCAGTAAAAAGAGCTTCCACAGTGATAAATGTTAAACAGCTAATTAATAGTTTTAGAAATGTCATGTTAATTTTTGCCTCAGATACCTGCTGAAACATTAATTTCTTTGTTAGAAAAAGAATAAATAAGGAAACTAAACTTATTATTTATCACTTATTGTTTAGCACAGAACTTTTTTCTTTGATAAACTCATCTAATTGATATAATATATATATGTTACTTATAAAATAAAAACTTACATTTAATTATAATGAAACGTAAACGTAAATACGTAATGTATAGTAATAAAACGTAAACAGATTATCATTTATTAATTAAAAAATTGAATAAGACTTTTCAGCTTTAACGAAAAAATGAATTTGTAATAAAAAAATTGGAGCTATGTGATTCAATATATTGTTCTACGAGGTTTTGAAAATTATACGTTATATGTTTTGTTTTGCTTCTCTCTCTTTTTCCCTTTCCCTCTCCCTTTCTCTCTTTCTCCCTGTCCTATATGATTGATACTGTTCTGTTTATTTATTTTGTATACATGTTGTATACATGTTCGGTTGTTACTTATTTAGTAAGATTAAAAGTATTCAAACTTTATTTAATATATCTTCTCATAAATAAATTCAATCAAATTAATTATTCCTTTAATTATTCTTTGAATTATTTTTTCCTTTTTTATATTTATCATAATATACATATATTAATATCTATACATATTTATATATTTATACAACATCTATACATATATACATGTTTTTACTATATGTTTATGTATATATGTCTGTGTATATATATATAGATATGCGTTCTTAATAAAAACATTTTAAATATAAATTTAAAATAATAAACTTAATTAATACATTAAAAACTATGTATTTTCACAAATAAAAAATCTAATTTAAAATAGGTAAATAGTACGTCTTTGAGTGTACTAATGATATTTGACACATGTTTATTTTTTATAAAGATTTGACTATAAAATTTAAAAAGCATATGTTTTTGTTTGTAAGTAGCTATATGATCTAACTGTTTCTTGTTTATAATCAAATGCGTGACATGTTGTAGTGTTCTTGTAAATGCGAATGCATAATTAATACACTGTCTTCATTATAATAATAACATTAATATTATAAATAATCAATAATATAAATAAAAATAAATAAAAGCTATGTAGAAAACGTTTATAATAGAGATACGTGCACGAGCATGATATGACACACGTTTGTGCTCTGGTTTTCTTATTTTTTATTAATTTCCGTCAAACATAAATATTTGTAAGAATTTATGCAGATCCTCGATTTGAGAGCGACGTTTTTTTATCTTATCCTGAATTTTTAAAAGAATCGCATTTGCTTCGTGTTTCTAAAACAAATTACATCAATATTAATCTGTAATAATTAGTAAGATATGATGAAGTAATTATAAGAGTGAAAAAACTTGATTAATATTAAAGTTTATTGCATATGCATTGGAGAAAAACGACATATATTTCTACATGAAGATTAATGCAATAAAAAAAGCTTTTAAATTTATGCTTAAATATAAATATGTATGAATGTATGAATGTTGAACATGAATTGTATCGCAATTTATGTTATTATGTATATAATTTAGATTTTTATTATACATATAATATTAATTTATATTATACATTTCTATTATATATATAATATTAATTTATATATTCTCTTTTAAATTAAAGTGCTTAGCAAATCAAATTAAAAAAATATACGATGTTTTCCTAATCAATAGGAAATTTGTATTAAATAAAATTTACCTTATTTATTTGAGACGATATTTCTATGCTAAATTCAAAATGTAGTCTTTCTCTCCTCAGATTATTCTTCACGAAATCTTCTAACTAAAATATATCATTTTGATATTTACCGTTAATAAGTAATAATTTAACTATTTCGTACGAATTATACTTAATATAGATAAATTCATAAAATGTTTACCTCGATAAGCTGTTTGTCATCATATAAATGATTAATAATAACAGTTAATGTTGCAACTGTGCTAATTTGTCTATATAAAAAGAAAATAGAAAATATAAATATACAGAGAAATTTCATGTTTGTATATTTAAGAGAATAGTGTATATTTATAAAATAAAATATTACTCCTTACCTGGGTATTATTTCTTCGAAATTACTAAATATGTATTTACGTAAAGTATCGATTCTTACATGTTTTGTAATAATAGTAAGAAAATTGTCAATAGCTTGCGATCTTAAAATATAATTTTCCGGACTCGATTCCTTAATCACATTTGCTGTTTTGTTTAAGCAGTCTTTGATGATATCAACATTTTGAGTGCAACTTAAGAATTTAGAAATATTATTATCAGTTTTGTTCACCCATATATTATACAAGCCTTGCCAAATGGAGTCTGCCTCGTACAAAGACAAACCATTACAATATGTCCATTCTTTCCACCATGGCAAAAGTCTATAAAATGTCAGAGAAAATAAAATTTTGTTATAAAACTTTAGATATAATTCTGTGTAATTTAATTGAATAACTTTTAATCTCAAATATTAAATAATTATTATAAAATATAAGAAATCAGGCATAAAAATACTATAAATGAAATATAAAAAAAATTACGTATTCTTTTTAGGATCCGCAAAATGTTGCATTAATTTATTGTTGGCTTCTTTTAAACACTCTTCGTGACGTAATAAACATGCCCATTTTGCAGCCTCTTGCCTTAAACATTTTTTATGCTCATCTTCGTTAGGAATTTCTGTATAACCAATTTTCTTCAACATTTCATGTAATGCGTTCCGCATTATTATCTAAAAATTATTGTTAAATGATATAAATTTTTATATTTATTTTTGTTACTATGCATTTGTTACTGTACTTTTTTTCTTCTACTTTTATAAATCGTTATCAGACTAGATTCTGCAATATGTTTGCAAATTCTTAAATAGCAACAAAATAGTAGAGAGAAAAAATATGTATATGTTTTTATGGATAATATAAAATTATTCTTTTTTAATTTTATAATTTTGATCTAAACATTATTGTAAAATTTAATTTTTTTGTTATATGTATTCTACGTTTAGAAATTATTCGATAACTATAGCAATTATTTTACATGCATATTTATCTAATATGTGACAATTTTATTAAATATAGATCTAGTAATAATTACCCTCACAAAATAAGGTTTTATACCGACATTATCACTGAAGATGCTCGACATGTACTCTAGAGCTTTGAACATAGGATACCAGGCCACATAATCTGTTTCTTTCTGTAAATAAATCATGATATTCCAGAATATAACGGGCTTGAGTTGGTACGTTAACATTAAGTGAAAAGCATCATCGATGATTTGGGCACGATTGAGAACGTGTATATTTCTGTAATTCTCAGTTCTCAAATAATTTGAAATTAATTCCCAATTATTGGTATCATAATTTACACGATAATATCCTATAAAAAAAATAATAAAGTTATATATATATTTCTTTTATTGGATTTATTACGAAAGATGTATAAATATCTGTATAATTTTTTTTAAGAATAATAATTATTAGTCAATATTTACCAGTTTGTTGTAAATTGAATATTATCCATTGATTGCTTGCGAGATTTTTAATTTTCTGAATGTATCGCTTACCCGATCGCTCGAAAAATGAATCTTCGTAAAATACCCAAATATCAGGCGAAGTATTGTCAAAATCAAATTGTGTCTGCGTAGTATAAGTCAAAGGTATACTCAAACTTCCTGTTATATTGACAAGTTGTATTGTTACATCTTCGAATGTAAAATGTGATTGATCATATTCCCGTATTACATTTATTACAGGGTAATGCTTATAATTTATCCAAGTTTTCATTTGCTCTATCTTTTTTATGGTAACAAGTTTTTCTTGTACTAATGGTCCATACCATTCTTGTTCAGAAAAGTAATCATATTTCAAAGCTGTCCAGTAATCGTAAGGATAAACAAAATTATACTCACTAAAATTGAAAATGTCAACATTAAATTAAATGAGAGAACAAAATTATAATATTAGGAAATAAAGCAAAGAATAGTGACAAAAAACAAAGAAATATGGTATAAAATCTACATTATTATTTTTAATATTTGCTTAATTTTATTTTATATAACTATTTTACATTATAGTATATTACTTACTGATCATATATACATGAACGCATACTGGTCCAAAATAATTTTTCGGTAACAGCATGTTGCAGCATACGCAATATAGCGGGTACTATACGTAATGAGAAAAAAGAATATATGATTAGGTATGTTTAAAAGTATATTTATTACAACGCGAATTCTTGTTCTATAAGTATAATTATATATATATATATATATATATACAGGGTGGGGCATTTATATTGAGACACCTAAATATCTAAAAAATAAAGCACGATAGAAAGAAATGTTTCAGACAAAAGTTGTTCGGTTCTAAAAGGTCATAAGATGGTGCCATTAGTTTGATCTTGAAGAGTCACATGAAGGTCACGTAAAGGTCATTTTGAATTTCTAAATGGAACACCCTATATATTTTTGCATATTCTGGTAACTTACTTCGAGAGCTTTTCAAAACACTATAATAAAGTATTTTTTTATTAAGTACTTTTTGAGTTATTTTATATTTTAAATACTTATACATATATAGAATATTCCAAAGTTAATCAATCGAACTTTGTTCATTTAAATACGCTTTATTTAAAAAAAATTATAATACAAAATTAATTTAAGTTATAATTTTATGTTATAAAATTTAAATAGTTACATTAAAAATATTAAATATAAGAACAATAATGATTTTGGTGTTGAACATTTTGAATATTCAATAAATTGAATTTTATTATATTATTTTGCGTTTTACTTTCATTTTCAGTTAATCCTCAATTAATTAAGTTACCTAATTTTGAAATTTAAACGTCCGTAACTTTCAGAGAAATGATTTTAAGAAAATGTTTAGGAACATATTTTAGAAAAAAATTGCTCTTATTTTCTAATGTAGAGATCTATAAAGTTTAAGACGAGAACGATTAAAATTGATAGCATAGTTCTTGAAATATTAATAACTATTAACAATGATGTGAGCCGTCCTGTATATTCAATTATATACATACATAGGTATATATATTTTTTATAGTATAATATTTAATATTAATCATTTAATTAAAATATAAAGAAAAATAAGCTTTTTATATATCATTTATGTTTATAAACGATTTTATACTCTCTCTCTCTCTTCTTAATCATATTTACATTATCATACCTTTGAAGTAAGAAATTATTTCAGAGAAAGCAGCTTGTGACGTAGAAGATTGAAAATCAATATCCAAGTGCAAAGCTTCATGTTGAATTTGGACCACGAATAAATCCATCATCCGAGTCTCTGGAAGAGTCTAAAGAGAAAATTTTAATGTGATTAAACCGATATAAAATTGCAGAAAAAACTCGCATTTACAATACGTATAAATTGCATTGCTCCTCTTCTAATGATAAAAGAATTACTTTTTTGAAAATATACTAAGATATTGCTAAAATAATATGTATTATTTAATATTACAATAATTATTCTCTTAAAAGCATTTAAAAACATTTCTTTTTTATTACAAATTTTATTTCTATATTATTTTAATTTAAGTCTATATAATGTAATTGCCAGCTTTTAGCTTTTATATTTCAAATTTTATAAAAATATAAGAATGTCGAATATATGTATGTAATCAGTATTCTAGTTACAAGGAATAAAAAAAAATTTTAAATAATAAGAATATTTTGCATCGTTGTCATACACATGTCAATAAGTATTTCGCGTACTGGTTAACTTTTAAGAATACAAAAATAACCTTATCGACAATATATGATCCCATGAATGTAACAAGAGCTTTGTGCAACCACGGGATAACCACAGACGTAGAACACCAAGATGTATTAAATACATTATGAAACCATTCTTGTGCTGCTTTATATGCTATTTTGCGGGCCACTTCGACTTTGCGCCCAGGTGGATCTTTATCTTCATCATATATAATATCTGATTCTCTAAAAATTATTTTTATATAATGTTTAGTTAATTGTATTGTGTGTATATGTGTAAGTTTTTTTAGCGTATTTAATGAAATTTTCTCTTTATATAAAACTATCTATTTAATATATATAAATTATTAAGTCAGTCAAAAAGTTTGGATCGATTTTGAATTAAAAATCAAGCCGAACTTTTCGACTGGCCTAATATATTACCTATATTAATTTGAGTAATAATAAGAATAAATAGCCGCAAAAAGATTCATTATCAAAAATCAAATTTCAAGGTTTTCATTTTCAACAAAAATATTAAATTGATTTATTATTTTCTAATAAATATCGTGAGTAAATTTAATAAGTTTTGCATAAAATAAAAAATTCGAGCTGTATTAAATAATTTATAAAAATGAAAGCTTCTTCTTATCGTGTGATGCAAGTAATGCAAACAAATTGTTCTACGAACATGTATAATTAAGTCTTGCACACGTTACTATTATTTATTGCAAGTGACAAAAGTATAAGTGTACAAATATTTCAAATTTTTAAAATATACTTGATTTTTAATAAGAATATATGTTTCTAATTGAACTCATTGTCAGATATAAAACATGTCATTTTATAGATTTTACTTTATATTAAGTACGAATAATAATTGTGTGCTTTTTAATATTATATATTAGAATATCTCTTTATCTCTGTCTTCATATATTTACCTATAAAAAACAAGTCCCAAATTTATCATGCCATTATCCTCGTAATCCGGAAATACAATATTATCCACTTTCGAAATCATCTTTACATCTTTCCATTCGCGTTTTAAAAACAGCATACTATCTGTCATGATACTTATTGCATACGCAAAATAAAATAAACTGTGTGGTCTACATTGTATTGTGACATCATCAATTCCAATATACAGTCTGGGAAATTTTAATTTATTAATTATAAGTGCCGCAACCAAATAAATCGGCATTGAAGGAGTGATATCGAAATGTGTCCACAACATGCCGTTTTCATCTGCTTCCTCTTTTTGCCCTGGCATATTCGATAAAACCTCGTAATTTTTATGGTGCATTATAGAAATATTAAAGGTGGTTTTAAATTTCGGATTGTCCCAACATGGAAATATTTGCCGCGCGTAAAATGTATCATAATGCACTGGCAACCATCTATGATATTTTAAAAACAGATATTACATAAAGATAAATTGTGTTTTACAAGTATAAAAATATTATCAGAAAATAGAGAGTTTATCGCGTAGTAAGCAAAAAATAGTTTCACGTATCTTTTATTATATTATTATTATATTATATACTGTTTAACACGACGATTAAAAATTGTTCTTTGATATTAAAATTATTCAATGTGTGATAACATTTTTGCGTGTGATAATTTATTATATAGATATTATAATAATATTAATTTAGAATATAATTCTTCTGTAACATTTCCGTGGAATAAAGGTTGATAATATGCGTTTCATTATTATATGAATATTCTGATTTAATAATTTTAATTTTTTTATCATCTTTATCAAATCCTTCTAAAGGTTGAATTAAGATCATATGAATTATGTTTAATTTTTCTGCATACAAATTTATCTTCTGCGTTGGTTGAATAATATTGATACTAGCATTGCATTCACCGTAGAATCTGTTACTGTTAATATATGTTTTAAGCTTGATGTTATAATGCTCTGGTATTATATATTCCAATAAATTGACTTCAGCGGTAACAAGAACCGTCGTGACAATGAACATTAAACTGCCACTTAGTAGTATTTTTAGACATGCCATGTTTTTACTTTAGATATCTGAAAAAACGATGTGATTAAAAAAAAGATAAATAAAGAGGCAAAATGCGGCATAGTATGCTTTTTCGATCGTAAACATATATGAAAAAAAAGGAAATAAACACAAGAAATATTAAAGCCAAATAAAATTTAAAAGTGATTGACTTATTACTTGTATAGAAAATTACCAAATTTTTGATTAGAAAGAGAGAGAGAGAGGGGGGAGAGGGTGGGGGGATAGAGAGAGAGAGAATGAGAAATAATGATAGTTTAAATGTTTAAAATATCAAAAGCACAATGTGAAACATCAAACGTTGAGTAAATTGGCACGCAGATGACTCGTAGAAGAAAAATGCATGTAAAAATATGACATAATATTAATTAATAAATAAATATTCTATGTAGTCAATTATATGTGCACTTGCTTTTGAGTCTAAATTTATTTCTCTAGAGAACAATTTAAATAATTTAATGTATATTAAATTAATTCTGTTTCTATTGTGTGATAAATTATCTATTTTACGCACTGATTTTACTATAATTTACTATATTTTTTATTTTATATCATAATTTTTATATTTTATATAAGTTGCATAGAGAAAAAGAATAAGCTTCATATTAAAAATAAAATTCTTTAATTCTTTTCTTGATTCTGAAGATGAAACATATAATATATGTATATAACATAATTTAGATGATCTCAAAGAACAAATATATAATAAATATAATAATAAATCATTTTTTAATAAAAACGTTATTAATCATGTTACTCTTTGTATAATCTAAATCTATTTATTTAATTTTCTCTGTTTTAAACAAAACTCGTATTGCAGAAGATATAATTTCGGACAAACAGTTTACATTACTAAAATTTTTTTGTAAATTGAGTAATATTTTTTCGGTATTTTTTTATTTATAAAATAAAGCTTTTACATTCAACCATATAAACAAAGCTTAAATTGGTTATTTATTATTGATTTCAAAATTTAATAAAACTTGTCTCTTAGCTTTAACGAAAAATTGCGTTGAATTTGTAACAAATTAACTGCCGTTACTTGTATCAATATTCATATATCTTTGTAGGCGTTTTGAAAGTCAAACATTGTGTATATTTTGTTCCGTCTATACGTTTTCAATGTGATTGATACTATTCTGTGTTGTATATGTGTTTAACTCTCCATTAGTCACAATATTTTTCACCCAATGTATTAAGATGGATAAATAAAAGCTGAAATGTTAGCAATATAGCTAAAGTAAACGGGGTGACAAAAATAATTTTTATTTCTAAACAATTCTTATTTTAATCTGTCTTCACATTTGTACATATATTAATTGTTCAATGTTACATACATCAATAACGTTATAACGTATATATATTGGATACTGCGACTAAGGAAGGATTAACCGTTATTATATATATCTAATTCCTTATTTGACAAAATTAAATCTATCCAAACTTTGCTTCTTGTAATATTCCTCTATTATTAGTTAAAGTACCTATAAATCTCATATTTAGAATATAATCCTTCTATAACACTTCCGTGTAATAAAGGTGGACAATATGTGTTTCATTATTATATGAATATTTTGATTTAATAGTTTTAATTATTTTATCATCTTTATCAAATCCTTCTAAAGAATTATCATAAATTGAATCAAATATAAATCATGCACGATTATTCTGTTTATATTTATTATGTTACTTTAACTAAAGTTATATTAACGTATACACAATATACACATATTATTGTGATATGCGTTTCAAATCGTCTCTCTGTTAAAACCGTCAAAGTTAACTTGGAAAAAATAAACTATGCTTGTGTCGTACTTATATATTAGAATTATTTAAATTCTTCATTTTATTTTTTCATGTTTCGTTAATTTAACGACAGATATACATATATGTGTGTGTTCTATTTCTATTAACTCACCTTGTATATTAAGGTTGTATGCCATAAGTTTTATTACTCAAGTATGCAATCCTCGTAAATAAAAATTAACTAGTAAGTAAATTTGACGATTTATTGTTACTATTTATATAATATTCAAAGTATATATAATCACAACACTTTCGAGATCTTATCATTTCGAGAGACCATCGAAGACTAACGATACTCGGTACATGACATTACAATAAGTACGTAATGTTATGTCAACACACTTTCGATCGTCGAGAAATATTTTACTAGTCGATAAATGTTAATAGTTATCAACATATAACCATAGAAGAAACCGCATTATTTTTTAATTTTAAATAACTTATTTTGAGAAAAATACACAAAAATAGGCAAAAAAGCAAATTTTATTCTTATTTTTTGACTTTTTGATTTAAATAGCTTTTATCGCACGGCAATTAATTAGAACAATTTGAGTATGATTATGAATGCCACAAATTTAACGGTTTTTTATATTAAATAAATTGTTATTTTCAAGTAATTGTAATTTGAATAAAAATTAAGATGTTCCTGATGATTTATATAAATATATAGTGTGAATACGCACGAAAAAACAATTTTACCGGCAGTGTCAAAAAATAAACTTGATCTATAACAAGAAATACCAATTTTTAAAAGTAGAAGCATTAGTACTTCTTTCTCTATACAGGAGAGATTTCATATTCCTGCGGATATAAATTCCACCGAAAGTACCGGCATGATCGTCTCCTGCAAACCTCTCTCTGGTATAATATACACATATATATATATATACTTGTCGGAAACCCTATATATATATATATATATATATATAGGGTTTCCGACAAGTAAGTGACCAAACGAAAGGTGGAGGTAGATTGAATCAAACTGAGTCGAAAAGTCCTGAACCATTTTTTTTATAACGTTTAATAAAGAAATTATTAATGAATAAAGTCTGGCCAATCAGCGCCAACCTTTAGCCGGGCGCACGTCGGTGAGACGTGCGCCGTGAAGTGTGCGCTACCGCATACTACCAGGCGCGCAGCTCACCGATACACAAATAAACAGCGTTTTTTTCCTCATTTTTTCTATTTCGATCACTATTCATTAAACAATTTGTTATACATTTAAAACAGAATGTGTCAAAACAAATGATTTTCCCTAATAACAGACATATCTCTCCATTAAAATTATGACATGTATATTTTTATATTAATATTAACATATGATTAAACGTATTTAATGTATGAAATATTAAATTTAAAACATATATAGGCATGGTAGCAGATTTTGACTGTATTAAAAGGATTTATTAAGGAATTTATGTAACACACAATGACAAACTTTGACACTTTTTATTTAAATATTTAAAATCTCCCATAAGCAAATATCATAACTGTTAAATAACAATTAATTTATATTGTCTAAATATACAATATTTCTAAAGTGTTATATATTCATGCTGTTTAAAAAAAATAACAAAAAGAAGAAATATATTAACAAGAAATATTGTTAGACATCTTAAAAGTAATATGTATTTAAAAACAAAAACAAAATAGTGGCATTCTATATTAAAGAAAATTAAATAAAAGTTTCAATTACAAGTCTATCGAAAAAATTATATGAACTAGTATAAATATCATTATAGTGCCGTACATATTATAAATCAAAACAGAGATGTTATAAAGATGATTTATTTTAAGTTTAATATTTATAAGCAATTTCAATATCACTAATGCATATTAAAATTTAACATTATATTATTAATATCTTATAATATTAATATATTTATGCACATACATAATAATATATTAAAACATTGTCTGTAATATTTAATTTTTAATAAATATATAACATAAAATAAATTATAACTTTTTCACATTTTTACTTTGTCTTTAATATTTTTATAATGTTAGTACTCTATTAATAATTATAAAAATAAATTAATTTATATTAATATTTATACATATTTATATATTTATACAATATACATACATATATACAATATATATATATATATATATATACATGTACTATATATATGTTTGTATATATGTATATGTATATACAGCGTTCTTAATAAAAACATTTTAATTATGAATTTAAAATAATATATTTAATTAATAAATTAAAAGCTATGTATATTTCACAAACAAAAAATCTAATTTAAAATAAATAAGAAATACGTCTTTGAGTGTATTAATGATATTAGACACACGTTGTTTTCTGTAAAGATCTAACTGTAAAATTTAAGAAGCTTACATTTTTGTTTGCGTAAGTTATGTGGCTTATTTGTTTCTTGCTTATATAGAAATACATTGCATCTTGTAAAGTGTTCTTGTAAATACGAATGCATCATTAATACACTTTCTTGATAATAATAATAATAATAATATAAATAATTTGTTGAGGAATGAGGTTTTT